GATGGGACGGCATAGACGCCCCAATTAATGAACATTCCGATCTTGGACAGGGACGTAGTATCAGGGGGGGCCAGGGGGGCCTGCCCCCCCCCCCCCCACTTTTTTTCTCCAACATTACTTTTACTGTAGTAAATGTTCATTGAAAGGATGGTTGCCCCCCCCCCCCCCCCCCCCACTTTAAACATGGTATAGTGAAAAGAAGGAATTGTAGGGAAAAAAATTGGAAGTGGAAGTAACTTGGGTCTGAAAAAGTTGGCGACTACCCCCCCCCCCCCCCCCCCCCCCCCCACGAAATAGGTTTTTCGTGTTTGGGAAGTTTGGTTTTTTTCTTTTTTTTTTTTTTTTTTGCTTGTCAACATTTTCAGGTAAGTAAAAAAAAATTTTCTCTGGTTGGCCCCCCCACTTCCAAAAACGATGCTACGTGCCTGTTGGAATCATCATACCACTCCGGTATAGGCCTGGAATCAATACTATCCCATGTTGGTTGGTATTTTTGACAGTTTCCTGAAGATGTGATGGACAAGATCTCAAAGCATAATAAAATCACATTCATTTTGTTTGAGCAGACATTCTGACCAAAGTTATATATAAGCACTGCTAGAAGAGAGATCTTTGTAAAATAATTGTTTTCGCTGCTTTCTATATCTATATACATATGCCATGTGATAACTTTTATAAACAGTGTGTACAAATATATTACTATAATTCCATTTTAATTTTAAGCACATGAACTTATGACCAGCTGACGATAAATAATTGCTAACTAAAAGTAAGCATTTTCATTTATTTTTAAGTTTATCATCTGAGTAGAGATATACTAGTATAGTTCATAATATATGAAAGATAATGATAAATACCCGTTTTCATCTAGGGTATACGCTTCTGTAAATCTTATTAAATAAATGTTGACGTAATAAGGTGCTTGAAGTTTCGTGTCCTTGTCGGAGAATAACGGATAAAAAAGAATCTCTGGCTTCTAGATTTTGGATATTCTCTCCGAAATTTAATAGTTTCAGCTCAGACAGGAACTCTATACTTTTTCTGTTAATGACCTTGTGCTTGGCTGAAAGTCAAGATTAACACTTGCATAAAAAAATCTCTTCATGCATGAGCTTCCAGTAATTGTTCCTACAAAGTCAAAGGCATATAGCTCAGACCATAACTGCCAGTGACCTTTAACTTTTTAAAATGTCCTCACAATGGTCGCAACACACCCTTGGATCAACAGCAATTCCTCTATCAAGTATGTGAACTTCCAAAATTTCTCTATTACATTTAGTTATGATCAGAAGAAAAATTTTTATACTTTTTACCAGTGACCTTGAACTTGCCAGTATGACCTTTGGTCAAGATTAGGACACACCCTCATCATTAGTAATCTTTGTACCTAGTATGAATTGTACATGCAAGTGTCTGTCACTAACAAGATTATAGTGGAGACAAAGTTGCATCAAGAGACTGAGGGAATGAGAGATACACAAGGTGACTCCTATACCCTACAAAATTTGTTTGCATTGGGTATAATAAATTCCACGTTCAACTAAAAAAAATGAATGTCCTTTTTGTACCTCTGATCAGAAAATGACAAAATATTGTACATGTAACCCAACAACATTAAACCATCCCCAGCAATTTTTTTTTCGAAATTTAAAGCAAAATGCAAGTTTATCAAAATATTTATTTAGCAAAAAGTATACAAAATATTCATTTAGTACAAAAAATAAATATTTCACAAGAAATGTTTAAATGCAACAGCATGGATTTCCTTTCTGTTTTTTAAATAAATGTATACTGCTCACATTGTACACGAATCCAATAGACATGTATACATAATTATAACTCAAGATAATAATTATACAAAAACCTGTACATGAATAAATCAGCTGTAAAGATATAGAGAGTGCATTAAATTTTAAATGACATTCAACGTTAAATGCATAATTTCAATTATAATAGTATAATTTCAGAATCAATGTTTTTTGCAATATTCTCATTACACATTGATTTTCTATCAAATCTCAAACGAGAAAATTTTTGCATAGTACAGTTATATTCAAATACTTAAAATTCAAAATGTAAAAATGTTACCATACCTAAATTAAACCAAATTAATTCAATATTGAAAAATTTTAACTCAAGGGCTTGGGGCCATAAAACTTAGACGAGCTCACATTTGATCTCAGTCTCACTTTTCCACTGTATATTCCTAACGTACATTTTTTTTATAAAAGTGAGACTGAGATCAAAAGTGAGCTCGTCTAAGTTTTATGGCCCCCCAGGCAAGAAGTAAATGATTTTCATTAATATATATCAGGTATATCTCAAGTAGAACTAAAATTCATAATAAAAAACACAACCAACAATTGGACGATCAGATATGTACTGGTAGCTGTAAATGCGACCATGTTAAGCCATACATATATAGTTGTACTGTACATTGCGTAGTTTACTTGCTAAAAATTTGGCTTCTTTTTCTTTCGGAAATTTATGTCTTTTCATAAATTTACAACTAAGATCTATGAATTAAGTATACGCATTGTATTAAGGAAGCTGGGGGGGGTCAACAAATTAATCACAAATTAACCATAAGATTTAACTTATATTTTAAGATATGGTATCTTAAGCTGTCAGCTATCATTTGGCAAAGAAAAAATTCATACATTTTAGTTTTAAAATTTGATCATTTTTGTATATCTTTATATGGAGCTCTTCTTTTAAAAGAGATCGAAATAGTCTGAAAATGGCTGCCACCCCCCAGCCTCGTTAAAGGAAAATACTTTTTATTGCATATTCATGTATTTACTTCAAACATTAGAAACTTAAGCTAGTCTAAATTATATTGCACATTTTTCTACTGATACTCCAATTTAGACACTTAACAGCTTTTTCATTATTTTTTAAGTTGAATACTTTTTTATATTTCAAAATAAACAGTGAGATTCTACACTAGTCTACTATATTGGGATGGTTGTTACAGTACCTTGTACATATAAATCTTTTTATAGTCACCATTAAGATATAATAGCTGTTAATTTCAGTAAAAAGAATAAAATATTGTAGAGCTGTACGATCATGGTGTTAAAAAAAGATCTCCAAAAAATGAATGTTAATGAAATTTAGAAAAATCATTCAACTTTTATGGGGATTAATTTTTATTTGTTTATGTGGTATGAAGAAACTTAATCACTAACCCATGTCCTGCACAAAATAAAAAAAAATCAGATATATATACCTTACACTTTTTCAACCACAATATTTTTTTCTAACTATAAAACTTGATCCAACAAAAATATATGACTTTACAGTATTAAATATCCTAAAATACATATTGACACATTCATGGTGGCTTAAGTAGCTGCTTTCAGAATTATACAAGCAAGTCAGATATGCATCATCGGAACACACAGGTTTTCTCTCCGTTACGTAAAAGAGAAAAAAAATGTGAGTTCCGACGATGGTTAGAAATGGTACAAAGAAAATTCTGCTCATTAATGGAAACAAAGACCAATAACAAGTACATTTCATATGAGCTGTGTAATCAATATGTTTCTGATCAAAACTAAGCACAATTAAATTATACATGTAAGAACAAACCAGAAGTCTCTGTAGAGACTGTAGCTCTACTGGTTTGTACTTATCAAAAACCATTGCACTATTTTATGTGTCTTTGTGTAGTCTACTTGTGTGCCAACTTATTTTGAAATCAAACTAAACTGTAGAAGGAGTAGCGTTTTAAAGGAATTTCACAGAAAATTCTGTTTTTAGTAACCATGGCAATGTTCGAAATCAAAAACTTTTCGATGTCATGAATAACATGTACACTTGTGTATTATATTATTATGACAAAAAAGTAAGAGGGAGGAATTTCACAGAAAATTCTATTTTTAGTAACCATGGCATACATGTATATACACAATATAATTATATATTTTCAATGTTTATATATGGTCAAAGTCTTTACTTCAAATACACCATTATATGGGTAATTTCTGTTGTTTTCAATTAAGTGTTAGTTTTGTTCAAAATGTAAAGAAACAAAACAGTCAAATCTAATCTTGAGAATACATACAAGGGATGATCAAAATAACACCGATCACTGAAATCAAAAACCAATGCACTATTCTTTATTTAGTTTGATTTGTGTGTGTGTGTATATTGAAATCAGACCAAAACTGTAGAAGGAGTAGCGTTTTAAAGGAATTTCACAGAAATTTCTATTTTTTACCATGGCTACACCGTTTGTAAAAAACTTATAATCTTAATGGTCTACTTGTGTGCCAAGTTATATTGAAATCAACAAAAACTGTAGAATGTTAGCCTTAAGGAATTTGAAAATCAAAACCATGGAAAATTCACTGAAATCAAAAACCAAAAAATTTTACACTTGTGTGCCAAGTTATTTGAAATCAGACCAAAACTGTAGAAGGAGTAGCGTTTTAAAGGAATTTCACAGAAATTTCTATTTTTAGTAACCATGGCAACACCGTTCACGAAATAAAAAAGGCATCTTGCTATGTATATTAGTGTAGTCTACTTGTGTGCCAAGTTATCTTGAAATCAGACCAAAATTGTAGGAGGAGTAGCGTTTTGAAAAATTGTCCTCAAAGAAGTACAGACGTGGCATCTGACCCCAGCAGTGTGACCCCAGTGACTGGGATATCCTTCAGTGACAACACAGATTTAAAAAAATACTCTTCATATATCACATTTATGGGATTTCATTAGTATCACAACCGCAATCTTTTAAGTATGAATAACATGTACTTGATTATTTGAAGTTTGAGAGCTTACAAATATGTACATGTATATAACAATATAATTATATAAATATATATACAGTATTCAAATACACCATTATATGGGTAATTTCTGTTGTTTTCAATTAGTTTTTTTGTTCAAAAAAAGAAACATAACAGTCAAGTTCTAGTGAGAATACATACAGTGGATGATCAAAATATTCACAAAATGAATAACCTGCATACAATTATTTCATTTCACTTTTTAATCACCCCTTTGTAAACAACTTATAATCTCAATGGTGTGACCTTAAAACAATCTAAATGTTACCTTATAGAAATCAAAACTGAAAATTCACAGTCTAAGAAAAAAAAAAACCAATTTTACAATGTATTTTTAACAGTTCTCTACTTGAGCATAATCTTCAAACTCCAGGCCCACTGACAAGGCATCTTGCGTATATTAAGAACTGGGAATAAAACTCGCAGTCCATGAGCCTCCTCAAAGAAGTACATTGTGGCATCTGACCCCAGCAGCGTGACCCCAGTGACTGGGATACCCTTCAGCGACCCCAATAAAATCTCGTTACTTAATGGCCAATCCAGCAACAAACAGTAAATCACCTTCTTGTTGGCCTTTGAGGCTGTGTACCTTTAAACAAAATAATAAATCATATACAGTATACTGTATACAGGGTTATTTTTGTCCAGTGTTATTTTCGCCCACTCACATTTGAAAACAAGTTTGCCCCATTTTAAATTCGCCCAGACAGATTTCAGTTTTAGATATATTATACTGTTTACATTGAATTCGCCTCATTTTAAATTCGCCCACTTCCGACAAGGACAAAAGGGGAGAAAATAAAACGGGAGCGAAATTTCCCTGTATACAGTACAATGTATATATCTTAATTTATCGATTCTTGAAAATTACAATATTTTTTATGCCAAAAAATGAAATGTAAACACAAATTCTAGTGAAACAAAATATTTCAATGGTATGTTACATGAAACCATGTGAACAACCAAACTTAGGTTAGAAGAACCATATGGTCAATCAAATAATGGTCATAGGCATGATGATGTGGTCTATCAAAAATAAGTCAGAAGCAAAAAACATTAAGTTTGTTAAATCATCAACAAAAAAGATTTTTATGAGTATATCTTCATCTTGAGTCATTGCATAAATCAATCTGACACAACTCCTCATGCCTTTCCAAAGTCAAAGTGGAAAAACAAACTTGAATGTGATGCAGAGATATCCATGATATAAAAACCCTTTTTCATAAAATGTGGGTATACACTTCTTATCAGTAGACTATGTTGTATAACTTCACTGAAAGTTGAGTCATTACCTAAAATACACATCTACTACAGAAGGGACCTGCAACTTTGTCTTAGTCCAACACTTTAGTAAATAGGAAGCAACTCAATTTAGTAAAAAAAATAAAAAACATCCTGTGATATTAATACATTTGAGGTGTTTTCTTAGCTAGCCAGAAAGGCCAGAGATGATGTGATTGTTCACATATACAGAATACATCATAATTACAAGTGGCTTTGAGATTGGCAAATTCCCTTCACATAAAATTTATTTTCAAATTTAATGAAAAACATGTATATCAAAGAAATATGAACAAGAGATGTTTGTAAAACACTTATGGTCCCCTCTCCCATATAATTGGAATTTTACTTCCACTACCAGAAAGGCCAATGGACATAACTCTGTCCAAAATGGCTCCATCATACCCAAACCAGAACTTGACCTAGATATTCTTATGATAAATCTGTATACCCAATTTCATTTCAGTATGTGCAACCTCTGCAAAGAAAATGAATGGTAACTGCAAATAATTGGATTTTTTCTTAGTCCATGGGGCATAGATTTTACCCAAAACAAAACTTGACCTAGACATTCAATATGTGCAACCTCTGCGAAGAAAATGAATGGAAAACTGATGGTGGACAGACAGACAGCAGCAAAGCAATATGCCCTCCCTTCTTCAAAGGGGGGATAAAAATGAAGGGTAGGAATCATTATCATTAAATCTGAGTGTAATCAATATCAGTTTATTATTATCTATGTGAGTGCAGTTGTACATGTAAATCTAATATAATTATGAAGGAGAACCTACCATGCCCTGTTGGTTTCTGTGTCATTCTGATGAATCCAGGGGGTTGTTTTATAAATAGCTTCTCCGTTGACCTTCAACCATGACCCTAGCTGACGGAATCTTTCCTCGTAGATCGGGGCAAAGGTCCCCCAAGCCGTTGGCCCAGCATTAATAAGAATGTTCCCACCAAAACTGAAAATAAAGCAATATAAATTCTTAGCGATTCATGAAGCTCAATCAGTGCTTCAAGTCCTAGAGGATGATGTTTTCATTAGGCTATCTAAATTTAATTCTCTGGTTCTCAGGCCAATTTTCTCCAAAACAGATGTGGGAGGGAGGCATTTTATTTATCATTTTATTGGCAATAAAGTAGATGAGGGAGGTAGCTATAGTTTTTTAACTTTAATTTTCGAATTTTCTTTCAAATAAAAATAATTTTTTTATTAGGCAATGTCTTTGAACGTATTTTCAAACGATGTAGCCAAAATCTCTTCGCAAATGGCTATATCAAATGATATTTGAGTACTAAACTACGAAAAAATGAGGACGGAACTTTTTTTTCTGGATTGGTGTCCGCAATACCAACTTTTATTTTATCAAAAATACAATAAAATTAGCAATGCTGCTACCTCAAAATGGATGCACGCGGGCCTGAGAACCAGAATTTCAATTTTATGTAGCCTTATTTCACTCACTTAATCTATTGCATTTGGCTATACAGTAAAACTTGTTTAGTACGAACATAGATATAGCGATTTCACAGATATAGCGAAGTTTTTCTGGGTCCCCGGCAAAATTCTTATCAAACCTTTGAAAAATTTTACTGTTATAACGAACTCTGATATTACAAAATTTACGGATAAAGCGAACTGATTTTTGAGTCCCGTTGAGGTTAAATATAATGAAATTTATATCTTTTAAAACGAACTTTCAAAGATCTCAAAATTTGATGAATGGAAGTGAACTTATTTTCTTTTAGCATATAAAATTCAAGTCATAATAAAACCTTAGTTATCAAAGTTATATTTTGTTATATTTGCTTTCCTAACATATTTGGTAGTAAAACTTGAAAAATATAATACATTTACAGTATCATATAAAAATACAACTTTAATTTACCTTATGGTATAAATGACTTCCTCCAAGAGTTCTTCTATGGAGTAGTACTGACTCAAGTCAGCATTTCTTCTGAACCCCCAGGATCCTCTATCTACTGTCATGGCATTGACCCATTTATGTGGCATCACGTGACCTTAAAATACATCATTCAATGACATCATATTAGGCTGTGGAAAATGTGAACAGAAAGAGAATAGGACAACACAAGGGTTTACTTGGTTTTCTTGGTTCTGTTTTCCTCATGCAAGCAATTAACTTCAGACTTTTTGTAAGCTCTTTCTCATTTGATTTTACAGAGGATACAATCCCTATCTAATTTCAAACTGAAACTTCTGATAAGTTAAAATTTAGCTAAGAATAATTCCCATTATTATTTGCATTTCAAAAAAAAATTAATTTTAAAGAAGGTATAATTCTGGAATGTTTTACTTGTATTATTGTCGATCTAATTTTTGGAGAGTAAGTATAGAAGCTCACTGGAATTAATTTTACCAGCAGCACCATCACCAATAAATTATAGAAATTATGGTCCATATTATTAAAAATAGAATTTTACAAGAAAGACCAGAATTTATATGTATAGACAAGATATACTTATACGGTAAAACTTGTCTAACTCAGACAGCATTTCACAAAAATAAGGCAAATTAGGCAATACAGTAAAACTCGGTCATAGCGAAGTTATAGCGAAGTCCTGGGGACCTGTGAATTTGATTCGCTATATCCATAATTCCTTATATGCGTATAACGAATTCATATAACCATATATAGCGAATTCGCAATATGCATGTTTTCCTTCAAGTGTTACTACCAAATATGTTAGGGAAGCAAATATTACAAAATATACTTTCGCTAACTAAGGTTTTATTATGAATTGAATTTTATATACAGATGCTTAAAGAAAATTAAGTCGGTTCAATTCATCAAATTTTGAGATCTTAGAAAATTCGTTACAAAAAATGTAAATTTCATTATATTTAATCTCAATGGGACTCAAAATCATTTCGCTATATCCATAAATTTGTTATATCAGAGTTTGTTATAACCGAAAAATTTACAAAGATTTATTAAGAATTTTGCCAGGAACTCAGAAAAACTTCGCTATATCCATGAATTTGCTATATCTGTGTTAGTACTAAACGAGTTTTACTGTATTCTACATTACCAGAACATTATAAACAAATAATTTTCCAAAAGGGACTTAATAAAGTTTTTTACCACAATAGACAAGGTTTTGTATTACACAACATCCAGAATTGACAAGTTTCAATGTAGTATTAATATTTAATTCTGAAATATTATTAATTCCAGTTAAGTGTGCCATTTTGCATTACTAGTATGTTAAATCCTATGATGACAACTGCACTCAAGGTTAATAGTACAGGCCTCCTAATCGCAAGCTTTATGACGAAGTTTCTTCTTATTCTTAATTGGTTGCTCTTGCAAAATTATTTCCTGTCCGTGTTGATAAGATGAGTTGACCAATCACAAAGCAGGGGCATGAATTGTTTAAATGGTTGAATCTGTGGAAAAAGATCATGACCTAATTCGAAACGACACACTTAACTGGAATTAATAATATTACCTGGATGAAATCGATCCGAACATGTCCAAATTCCTCCATGTTTACAGAAACAGTCTGACCCCCACCGGTCATTTACGATGATGTAGTCTTTAACAGGACTATATTGTACAAACAAAAAATATATATACATTAAATTCGGTTATAACAAAATCACTGTGATCTATGAAATTACTTCTTCTATATCCATAATTAGTTATATGCGTATAAGGAATATTTATATAGCTGGGGATCCAAGATAACTCTGCTATATCCATGAATTTGTAATACCTGTGTTCGTACAAAAACGGGTTTTACTGTATTCAAAGATTTTCAAAATCATTTTTCCTTGTTTACGGTAGTTAATAAGATTTCATTAAAAATGAACCTCTGATACTTAAAATATGCTGTAAATGCAATGTACAACATTTTTATCTTGAATACCATGAATATGTCGAAGTGAATTGGAAAATCAAACCTTTTTTTTTTCATGCTCAAAATCTTGAACTTGCAAATATTCAGTTTTTCTCAGTCCCACCAGGTTCATAGTAATAAGACTCAAACTCCATATGTACCTACCGGGTAATTTTTTAACAAATCCCATACCTTTCATTGTACAACCAGGCCAGAAATATAGTAGAATTCCAATACCAGCTTGGAGCCAACCAGCCTGCGTCATTCCAGAGAATGTCAGGTTTGTATGTATTTATGATCTCATAGAGTTGAGGGTGGATATAATCCTGTGAATGTAATAATTAAATACAGTGAAACATAGTTATAGCAAACATGCTTATAAGGAATAATGGCTTGTAGCAAAGTGATTTTCATCTCCCTTGACTTTAAAATTCATTGAACACTTAATTAACAGACAAGCTTTTTATTCATTGTGAGCATTTTCAAAGAAACTGCAGGTTTGTTGCATTATATTCATTGGCAATGTCATGCTAGCTAGACAACGTTCGATCTTCAGAGCTGGACGCCATAATAAAATGAATTATGTTTATAATGAAGCAATATTGTCTGCCCCTGGCACTTAATTATAAGTTTTAAAAAATTGTTTTACTGTGGATGAAATTCAATTACAAGGACATCTTGCAAGCATGCTACTTTACATTAAAAAAATTCTTGCCCCTCTTTTTTGTAGCCTTCTTTTCCCTCTCCTTGTCAATGGAGAAGATAAATTAAAAAGAGGGAGAGTTGTCTCCCTTTTATCACAACTGTAATACTGTATCAAAACAATTTGTAATAAAAACCATGGTGTTGATGGGGAAAATTTATGTATAACTACTTGGTTAAGAAAATAAATTGATATGGCCAAAATAACCCATTATTACATTTATAGCATTTAAACAACAAATTATCATATGGATGAAAATTTAAAAAAATGAAATGATACAAGCTTTAATATTTATGAAAACATGACATTGTCCATTACTTACATTGACATATCTTTGAGTGGTTAAATTATTCCTTTGGTCTGCCAGCCATATTGGATTAAACCACTCAATCATAGCATGGTACAGCCCAAACTTAATTCCTGTTCCTTGTAATGCTTCCTTTAAAGGACCTTTAAAAAATAGAATAAATTACTCACATATGACTGCAATAGAATTCCATCTAAGTTGTGTATTTCACACAGGTCCATAACCATATAAGAATCCTCCATAAATTCTGTTAATCTAACTTTTGAACATTACATTGTTTTCTGCTGATGACAATAATTCCCTGCTAAAATTACACAATTATCTTACCTAAGTTGGTAACCTAACTTTCATAAATTTTGATTTCCTACATGTATGTTTATTACTCAAATATCAACATGATAAATGTACATCATGTCTTCTCTTGTGAGTGGTCTGGTGTTCAGTTATAGGTAGCAAGCCTAATTACTCACCTACAAGGTCCTGTTTTGGTCCAACATCTCGTGAGTTCCACTGGTACGTCACATTGGTAGGGTACATGCTAAATCCATCACTATGTTTGGAAGCCAACACCACATACCTATAATTAAACGTTTTTGGTATATGTATATTATTTAGCACAAATCATTGAACTGACAGAATTATGAAAAATTTTTCATGTTTACAGATTTGTTTTAAACTCAAGGGCTCTTTTTTCTAAATAACCTTGTTTTCTCTCTGAATATAATATACTTCATTTACAAAATTCCTTGCCTGTGTACATGGTGTATGTGGAAAAGTACCGGTAGTTAGACTTAATAAAATGAGCTTTTGCTCTAGAGTCAAGACATATTAAGGAGTTGATCCAGCTTGTATCTAAAGGGCATAGGGACTGGTCATTCAGATGAGACCAAAAATTAAAATCCTGGGTACTGTTTTCACAGTAGATATAATGGCTCGAAAAAGATCCTTTATTGCTCAGAGGCCCTGAGTGCAAAGCACTTCATGATCAACTGAAAGTCACTGACCCTTATCCTTATCAACTTTTTTTGAGATCATCTGTATTGGCTTTTTGGGCTGATTACATTACTTCATTAGAGGTTAATCTGACCAGAAATCCGGTTAGAAACAATGACTGATGTAGACAAAGCATTCTATCATTAAATTGATAAATGTCCTATGGACCTGGTTTAATGATAGAATTTGTTCTGTATATTCACAGTGTTGCAAAAGATACATGGGTGATAACTCGAACTCAGTGCATTTACTACGAACAATCAAGAGAATTCCGAATTAAACATGGTGTGTATATTTGAAGTGAGAAAAAACGTTGAGGAAATAAGTTGAAATAAGTTGAATTTTCATCTTTATTTAGATTTTAATTTAGGTTTAAAGGCATACATAACCTCAAAAATGTTTGTTATAATTAATTTGGGAGTAATTATTAGTGCAAATCCCTTTGTATTCCTCAAAGTCATTTCAGAGCGATTCCGCAATTTTTTGCTACATTGTTAAGTATATGGGAGGTATTCTAACTGTTGTAAGGGCTTGTCCCATGATACAGTTAGATTATTCTAACTATGACTGATGTTCAAGTTGGTTACATTGTGTTGTTATTATTATGATTACATATGACTATTATTAATAGTTTATGAAATCAAGTGCCAGAGCAGAATCTGCTAGATATGTGTTGCATTCCTCATTTCCTGACATTTTGCTGGCTATGCTTACGAAGATAACTGGTTATTGCTTACATTCTTTTACTGAAAAAAAACTGCCAAATCCTGGGTTATAAGCAGCACCTATGTCAACTGATATTGACTATAGAGACACAGAAAATTTGCAACCCCAAAAGCTTAATATTAGAGGCTAACCTTCTGCATCTCCAGTCCCTATCAAAAGATATGTGTTCATATATCAACTACACTGAAGTCCAGATAATGTCAGTACCTATATATTAACCTATATAGGTCCCTGATAATGATAATAACAAAAACAAACAGTCTCCATTAAATGTACATACTTGACACCAGAGGCAACAATGATTTCTTTCCACTTTTTAGCATCATAAAACTCCGCCCGGAATTCCTTAGCAAAGTCCGCGTAGGTCCAGTTTGGTGGGTAGAATTTCTTCATAAATTCCACCACATTTGGTTGTGGTTGTCCTTTCCAGAACCACCAAAACCACTCACTGGTGCAGGATGGGACGGCATAGACGCCCCAGTTCATGAACATTCCAATTTTAGCATCGTCATACCAAGCTGGAATTGGACGAGAATCAATGCTTTCCCACGTCGGTTTATATTTTTGACATTCTGCACACATGCCCAAAAATATCACCAGAAAAGTATAATATGAATACATTTTTATATCTCGTAACCAGCCTCTATAACCAGGCAGAGCGCATGCGCGCAACAAATTTACATCGAGTTCGGAAAACAGCAGAGAGGAAATTCGGAATATATAACGAAAACTAGTAGTGCTATTCTCAGATGCAGAAATTTATGCATAATTCAATAAAATTTTATTTAAAAAGCCGAAGAATTAATAAGTCGACATTGCAATTAGTTTTTATTTGTTTATTTAATCTTTTATTTATTTATTTATTTATTTGTTTATTTATTTATTTATTTATTTTTATTTTTTTTAATTGTAATAATTATTGATAAACTAAGTAACTTATTTATTCATTAGGAAATTTATTTGTCTGTTTATTTATGAATACATTCTTTTTCTTCATTAATTAATTATTCTAATGAGTAATCAATTCTTCTATTTATTTATTATTCATTTATTCTTTTATTTAATTAATAAATTTATAGATTAATTTATTACTTATGTTTTAATTCATTTATATTTTAATTTGTTTGATTATTTGTTTACTTACTTTATATTTTGCTTTATTGTTTATTTATTTATTGGTTTCCTTCTTTATTTATTGGTTTATTTATTATTTCTGATAATTAAAGTAAATGTTTGATTTACTAATAAATAATTTATTTATTTATTTATCTATCATATTTATTCCTTTTTGTTAACATTCTCTTAAAATTAATCAATTAATTAATTTATTTATTTATTATTTTAATTATCTTTTTATTTATTTATTTATTTTTTCATTTACTATAATTTTTTCTCTCTCTCTCCCTCTCTGTTATAGAAAGGGTCTGTTTATGTATTGCTAGGGTTTATGTTCCCATAACCAGGATTTGTATACCCATCACCGGGGTCTATTTGCACATCATCAGGGTCCATTTTATCTATCACCAGGGTTTATATACCAATCACCAGGGTCTATATTATCTATCACCAGGGTCAATATTATCTATCACCAGGGTCTGTATACCCATTACCAGGGTCTATATACCCATCACCAGGGTCCATATTATCTATCACCGGGATTAATATACCCATCACCAGGGTCTATATTATCTATCACCAGGGTCTGTATACCCATCACCAGGGTCTATATACCCATCACTAGGGTCTGTATTATCTATCACCAGGCTCTGTATACCCATCACCAGGGTCTGTATACCCATCACCAGGATCTATATACCCATCGCCAGGGTCTATATACCCATAACCAGGGTCTCTATTATCTATCACCAGGGTCTGTATACCCATCACCAGGGTCTATATACACATCACCAGGGTCCATATTATCTATCACCAGGGTTTATATACCCATCACCAGGGTCTATATTATCTATCACCAGGGTCTGTATACCCATCATCAGGGTCTATATACCCATCATCAGGGTCTGTATATCAATCACCAGGGTCTATATACCCAGCATCAGGGTCTGTATACCCATCACCAGGGTCTTTATACCCATCACCAGGGTTTGTATACCCATCACCAGGGTCTATATACCCATAACCAGGGTCTCTATTATCTATCACCAGGGTCTGTATACACATCACCAGGGTCTGTATATCAATCACCAGGGTCTATATACCCATCATCAGGGTCTGTATACCCATCACCAGGGTCTTTATACCCATCACCAGGGCTGGTATACCCATAACCAGGGTCTATATACCCATCACCAGGGTCTATATACCCATCACAAGGGTTTGTATTCCATCACCAGGGTCTATACACCCATCACCAGGGTCTGTATACCCATCACCAGGGTCTATATACCCATCACCAGCGTCCATATTATCTATCATCAGGGTTTATATACCCATCAACAGGGTCTATATACCCAACACTAGGGTCTATTATCTATCACCAGGGTCTGTATATCCATCACCAGGGTCTATATACCCATCACTAGGGTTTGTATTATCTTTCACCAGGGTCTGTTTACCAGTCACCAGGGTCCATATTATCTATCACCAGGGTTTATATACCCATCACCAGGGTCTATATACCCATCACCAGGGTCTGTATACCCATCACCAGGGTCTATATACCCATCACCAGGGTCCATATTATCTATCACCAAGGTTTATATACCCATCACCAGGGTCTATATCATCTATCACCATGGTCTGTATACCCATCACCAGGGTCTATATACCTATCACTATGGTCTCTATTATCTATCACCAGGGTCTGTATACCCATCACCAGGGTCTATATACCCATCACCAGGGTCTGTATACCCATCACCAGGGTCTATATATACATCACCAGGGTCCATATTATCTATCACCAGGGTTTATATACCCATCACCAGGGTCTATATTATCTATCACCAGGGTCTGTATACCCATCATCAGGGCCTATATACCCGTCACCAGGGTCTGTTTTATCTATCACCAGGGTCTGTATACCCATCACCAGGGTCTATTTACCCATCATCAGGGTCTATAATATCTATCACTAGGGTCTGTACACCCATCACCAGGGTCTGTATACCCCTCACTAGGGTCTGTATTATCTATCACCAGGCTCTGTATACCCATCACCAGTGTTTTTTTTTACCCATCACCAGTGTCTGTATACCCATCACCAGGGTCTATATACCCATAACCAGGGTGTCTATTATCTATTACCAGGGTCTGTATACCCATCACCAGGGTCTGTATATCAATCACCAGGGTCTATATACCCATCATCAGGTTCTGTAATCCCATCACCAGGGTCTTTATACCCATCACCAGGGTTTGTATACCCATCACCAGGGTCTATATACCCATAACCAGAGTCTCTATTATCTATCACCAGGGTCTGTATACCCATCACCAGGGTCTGTATATCAATCACCAGGGTCTATATACCCATCACCAGGGTCTGTATACCCATCACCAGGATCTTTATACCCATCACCAGGGCTGCTATACCCATCAACAGGGTCCATATTATCTATCATCAGGGTTTATATACCCATCAACTGGGTCTATATACCCATCACCAGGGTCTATTATCTATCACCAGGGTCTGTATATCCATCACCAGGGTCTATATACCCATCACCAGGGTTTGTATTATCTTTCACCAGGGTCTGTATACCCATCACCAGGGTCCATATTATCTATCACCAGGGTTTATATACCCATCACCAGGGTCTATATACCCATCACCAGGGTCTGTATACCCATCACCAGGGTCTATATATCCATCACCAGGGTCTATATACCCATCACCAGGGTCCATATTATCTATCACCAAGGTTTATATACCCATCACCAGGGTCTATATAATCTATCACCATGGTCTGTATACCCATCACCAGGGTCTATATACCCATCACCAGGGTCTATATATCCATCACCAGGGTCTATATACCCATCATCAGGGTCCATATTATCTATCACCAAGGTTTATATACCCATCACCAGGGTCTATATCATCTATCACCAGGGTCTGTATACCCATCACCAGGGTCTATATACCTATCACTATGGTCTCTATTATCTATCACCAGGGTCTGTATACCCATCATCAGGGTCTATATACCCATCACCAGGGTCTGTATACCCATCACCAGGGTCTATACACACATCACCAGGGTCCATATTATCTATCACCAGGGTTTATATACCCATCACCAGGGTCTATATTATCTATCACCAGGGTCTGTATACCTATCATCAGGGTCTATATACCCGTCACCAGGGTCTGTATTATCTATCACCAGGGTCTGTATACCCATCACCAGGGTCTATTTACCCATCACCAGAGTCTGTATACCATCACCAGGGTCTATATACCCATCATCAGGGTCTATATTATCTATCACTAGGGTCTGTATACCCATCACCAGGGTCTATATACTCATCATCAGGGTCTGTATTATCTAACACCAAGGTTTATTTACCCATCACCAGGGTCTATATTCTCTATCACCAGGGTCTGTATACCCATCACCAGGGTCAGTATACCCATCACCAGGGTCTGTATACCCATCACCAGGGTCTGTATTATCTATCACCAGGCTCTGTATACCCATCACCAGGGTCCATATACCCATCACCAGGGTCTGTATACCCATCACCAGAACCTATATATTAATCACCAAGGTCTATATACCGATCACCTATTTCTCGTTATCAACAAGGATCTATCACCAACAGTCTGTATTTATATAGGTTTGGTTTTGATATCACCAAGAGTATGTGCATCGCAGAGGGTCTTTCAAGGGTCTCAGTATCAACAAGGGGAAAATGACTCTATGTATCACTCAGGGTCTTTATCACTAAGGCCTTATGTATAACTAAGATTACGGTATCACCAAGGGTATGTGTATCATTAAGGGTCTGTGTACTACCACTAAAGGTGTCTATCACCAACAGTCTATGTATCACCAAGGGTATATTTATTACCAAGGGTTTGTGCATCATAAAGTGTCTGTCAATAACCAGTGATCTGTGTTTCAACAAGGGTTTCTATCACCAGGGGTATGTATCATCAAGGGGCTATTTATCACCTAGGGTCTGTTTCAACAAGGGTAAATGTATCTCCAAGGGTCTATGTATCACCAAGATAATGTGTATCACGAAGGGTAAATGTATCTCCAAGGGTCTATGTATCACCAAGATTATGTGTATCACTGAGATTATGTGTATCACCAAGGGAACGTGTATCATAAAGGGTCTGTGTTCTACCAGGGGTCTATGTATCACCAAGTGTCTATGTATCACCAGTGGTCTATGTGTCGTCAAGGGTCTTTTTGTCACCAAGGGTATGTGTATTACCTAGGGTCTGTGTATCACGAAGTGTCGGTGTATCAACTAGGGTCTCTGTATCACCAAGGGTATGTGTATCACCTAGGGTCTGTCTATTACTAGTGGTCTTTGTATCACCAAAGGTCTGTGTATCACCTAGGACTTGTGTATCACCAGTGGTCTATGTTTCACCAAGGGTTTATATATCACCTGGAGTCTGTATCAACAAGGAT